TAGGGAAAGCATCTGCAGTCTTAAAGCAGTATTTCCAATGGGAGAAAGGTGCTGTTTTCCCAGTGGATAAACCCATAGTTCTCCATTTGATTTTGCAAGTGAATGTAACTGTATTGATAATACGTAATTAGTATTTTTATTAGGCCTATGTAACAATGGGCATGAAAATCAAAGAGTTTTGCTTTACAATAAGTTTATTCAGTGGCTATTTAATTAGCTGTTTAGACGTGCAATGTGATTTTATTTCAAAGGAAAGGAAACTTCTGGAATCAAATCAAGATTCAATGTATTCAGTCAAACTGAATATTACCCCCCAGTTATTCAGCTTTTAAGCGAGTGGTGTCTACCCTTCTTGTTTCTGGTTTGGCATTACTAAGTTTATATGTTAAGATTAATTAGAAAAATAAATGGGATAATCAGTACTACTATGGGAATTATCTTATTTTGACAAAATAGCTGGAAAATAGGAGTGATTATATGTTACAGTATACTACTTTACAAAAATGACACTGAATGGAAAAGGAAGCAGTGTATTTTTAGTTATCAGAGCTGAAGTGACAGGGAACCTTTCTCAGTTTCAGCTGCTGTTACTGAAAAAATCTGCTTATGTCCTAAATCCCTTAATGTCAAAAGATATGAAACATCTGACAGCCTTTCCACATAAGGCCAACAGATCTTTTACACCCTCTTTGTCTAAATAAGAGTCTGTAAAAGTACAGAGAAAAGAGAAGGAAGAAAATGCAGGTTGTATTGTTTTGTGGTGGTTTGGTTTGGTTTTTTTTTAAATACATACATGCATGCTTGTATATTTTTAGTTATATTTAAAACCCCTCTGTTTTTTAGTAGATATATCTACACTAGCTTTCTTAGTGTATTTGGTAGAAATGTATTGATAGAATAATCATGATTACTTCTGTTCAAGATAACCACCCAAGTAGGCATATATAGCAGCTCAGAGCAAGCACTACATTGAGGTGACATTTTTAACACTTGCAAGATAAAGCAACAAGTTCATTTATACACACTGAAATTGTAATTCATTAAAAATGTCAGTGTGTTATGAATATTAAATGTTCACTTACTATGATATTTTTGTAACACGCGTAATTGAAATTTTTCAGTAGTGGTAAGTTTTTTGGTCTAAAATAACCAAGTAAAATATGTATTTGCTTTTTCAATAGAGCAAAGTTGATCAAGAAAAGGATTTTGTACTTGATGAACACATGGAGAAGATTAACAGGTATTTGGCAATCTTTCTTCTTTTTCGTCTTTTGGATAGAGAGTGTGAAGTTAAATCCTCTAACAGTATCAGTGTTCCACAGATAAGGTGATAGAAATGGCATTCAAGTTAGTAATTTTAAACTTTTTTGTCTTTAGAGAGCTTTATGTGAATCTCCTAAGATATTTCACTCAGCAGTATACTAAATACTCAAGCACATTTGCCTGATTCATACACCATTATATTAAGCAACTACCCTGATGCACATTAAAATGAATTTCTATAGAAATTGGATGAGCATTTAAGAGAATTGTTCAGTTGGACAAGGAATTATATGTAGCACACTTATACTCATTGATCCAAGGCCATTTCTATGATTGTTTGGAATGTCTGTGTTCTCAGAAAGGGAAGGAGAAATAAGTGAGTGATAAGCAGCTAGAACTCTTGAAGTATGGCAGCACAGAGACAAAATACATTGAGACCAAACCAGTAGAATGGAGCTGATAGCTAAACATTTGATGTGTTGCAAAAATACAGATAAGACTGATGGTAGTAACTGAAGTTCCTGGATAAATAGAGTTTGTAAGTGAGGCTTATTGAAATGCTAGAGTTTTGTAAAGGAAGAGTTAGGTAAAACTGAACAGCAGGGAAGGCATTGCTAAGAAAAGCCAAATAAGGTTGTTACTCTGTTTCTAAGTTCAGTGTTACTACAACTTCACAGGGAAGAGGAAGGCTGAAGCAGTTCACTCATTAACTTTTTTCTTTCAGTCTTTTTTCAGGAAATAGCATGGAAGAAATTGTTGACAATTTAAAGCAAGATGGTTCTCCTTTTGCCATTAAGCAGCTAGAGGTAACATCTGTACTATTTTTATTTGAGGTTTTAAGTCTGGTTCTGTACTTTTTTTTTTCCCATGGGGCTGATTTTAGTCACCTTACTTTGATAACTAATACTACATAACACCAATAGGCCATTGGACTGAGATCCTCAGGTTCTCAGATGTAGGCCTGTGGGCCTGTCAGTAATTCTACTCAGACAAGAATATTCCTCTGTAAAATGTGAATATCATCATAGGTTGCATAAAATAGTCATCTAGTTAAAAAAAAAAAAAAAAAACAAACTCGCTCCCTTTTCCCCTTCCCACGATCAGGGAGCTGTTGGTGGCTAAAGTTCCTTTTATAGCTGCTCATTTTTTTTGCCAAGGTTTGGAATAAAACAGTGCCAGAACAACGCTGTTCTTTTTCTTCCATTCTAGATATCTCATTTTGGTAAATGACAAGCAACTTATTACCACAAAAGTTTTTTTTTTCTTTTTAATGCATTTCTGGGTGTCGTATCCACTACTTGGTCTACAGCAATACTACACACTTAATACACACTTCAGCCTCAGAAATCAAGAAGCAATATATAATCCTTTAAGAGTAATGTGCATATTTTCTTTTTCCTTTGAGGTATCTGTATTCAGGTGCCTTGCAAAAGTTTTCCTTGGAACTAATCAAATATTACTTAAAATTGGATAGAACACAAGTATTTCTCCAACAAACACTTTGTCTTAACTTTAGTTCCAGGTTACAGAAGAAATCCCACTCATGTAATAAAACAAAACACCCATCATCTTTGGACTTTCATTTGAGTAGAGTAATATAATTTTATAGTGTAGTGTCATTAACGTTAGGCATCCTGTCCCAGGATTATTTGCAGATAGCTTTTCCTAAGCTAATTTCATAGAATTTTGTGGCATTTCAAAACATAATCAGACCTAGAAGAACTATAGCCTTTAACAGGTGCTTTGTTCAAAATACGATTTCTATTACAAAACATGCAAGGTGTCTGAAAACACTTTGTTACTGAAATGTGTTAACTAGCCAGTTTGTTCTCCCACATTTGCTCTGGTTATTCAAACTGGCTTGACTCACTTCCTTCATCTGCAGCCCTGTGACTCAGATCTCCCCTATTAAAAGTATGACTTTGTTCCTTGTTGTTTAGAAGTATTTATTTCTTTCATATTCTTAATCTAGAACTTAAAACTATGTCAACAACTTCAAAGGCATGATTTTGTGTAACTTCTTTTACTTAAAAAGAAAAAGGCTCTTTTGTTGCTTCTCATTTTATTTCATGTCTTTAATAGTACTTTATAGCAGTTTTTTTCTTTCATGAGATTCAAAAATGAATGATTGTCCTTGGAGTTCCTGAACAACTGTCTGTTGCCTGTTCTGTTCCAAGAGATGAGACTATTAATAAGAGTTAGTTCTGTCCATACAGAAATGTGGGGAGGGAGACCCCAAACCTCACATTTTCTATCAGGTTCAAGGCTTATTAGTGTGAACAAGTATGTAAGTTTCAGACAAGCAGCATTCTAACAGCAAACATTCTGCACTAAGCAGTAGGATTAAGTAAGCTTGTAGGATCAGATAACTTAATTTCTTTTGTGAAAGATCCACGAAACTAAAGGAGGAAAATGCATTTGTGGATGAAAAAGGTTAAAAAGGGATTCACATATAAATCTGGCAATCTCCAGGAAATGCTTGCTGGTTAAACTGGAGATTGTGTTTTACTAGGGTGGCAGAACTGTAGTTAAACTTACTTGTAGCTGGAGGAAGAATAGTGGCTTGCACCCTGGCACTTGAGCATTTTACGCCTGCAGACAGAGCACTGGCCTGCTGTCACATTGCTCAGAGGAGCAGAGTTCAAAGAATTGTCAGAGCAGGGAACACATAGCAAAACCATGACAGTCTGAGATTATCAGACATTATCCAGTTTGCTGACTTGTGTGAAGCAAGTAATTTTCCTCATTAGGAGTATCACAGTACCAAGAGTATTTCCACTGACTAGTTTCCCTTATGTCACTTTCTGAAACCAAGATTGCATGTTAGTGTCTGGGTACAGGAACAACAGCACATCCAAGTAATAAATACATAGACTGTAGAAGAGTAACAGCAATGTGTATTGCTGTTTCTTTGTTTCCATGTATACTAATTATGATACATATTAGTAAGCTTATGGAATAAGCCCTAACTGAAAGTCTCAGACCCTAATTTGGAGGTACACCTTGGTACAGCCACACCTTGGATGTACAGATACCTTTTAAACAAAATGGAACTGCTAGTTCCACTATAATTCAAGGATGCTGTGAGCTATCTCGGGTATCCTGTTCTGTTTGATCTATGGTACTCCTGCTTTTTACTTTCAAAACATGTCTGCTTGGCAGGCCTTCACGTATCTGATACATGGTTTGCATGAATGAGAAGATTGTAAAATGTTAAAATTCTACTTGAGAGCAGCTTCATCACTTAAATCACATTTTGAACCCAGTTACAAACAGGTAGAAAGCTAGAATACTAACATACTTTCTGAACTCATACTACTAAAATACTTTTACAACTGTTTATAGCATTACTTTGCTTTCAGGATTTATATGAGCCAAAAAGCTTTAATCCGAGTGACAGAAGTACTGCTTCTAATTGGATGAAGTAAGCATGTGGGGTCAAAACCTGAAAAGCATCAGCTGTTTGACTTTGTTCTCACATGATGCTTTCTGAGAGCTTTTTTGGCAGGTCAGTGAACCTTCTGAGCACTAATACCTCATGAGTTCATAGCCTTAAACTGAATGAATTCCAGTGTAGTGTGCAGGACTAAAAATTAAAAGGTACCTTGTCCAGATCTGCTGGTCAGGTTGGGATGCAGACACTAGCTCCTGAAACTTTAAATGGGGATGCAGCAATGGGTGAAAGAGATTACAGGAATGAAGCAGGATGGCATCTTTGTAGTACTGAACTCAAGAAGCATTCTGAAACTCTTAACAGACAGTAAGTGTGATATATCTCTTTAAGCAGCTTTCCTGTGGTACTTTGGTTAGACACAAATCATGTCAAAGCTCATCCAGAACCGTTGTTCAGTGTGAACAAACAAATGCTTTGTTATGTCAAAGTGATGGGTGTCTTCATTTACTGCAAGGGACGTGATACACTGGACATCTGACAGGGGTCTTTTTGTTGTTTGTTAAGTTAAAGAAAGCTTCCCTCAAGGGCCTTCAGTAGCTCTAATCAGAAACTTTAACAAGCTTTGGAAGCACTATTGCAGCTGTTAATTCTTGTAAGAGACTCCATTGAGTCAGTGCCACTTAATTCAGCCACCTTCTGATAGTATCTTACTGGAATTCAGGTCTATTGCAAATTCAGCTTGTAGCTTTCAGGATCATCATGTTGAAATCAGTGTGATCTCAAAATACTGGAATAGATGTCAGATACTTCTACAAAGACTTACTGCATTTTAGTACTCCCTATTTCAGCCTATCCTATCTCCTTTCAGGCTTGTTCCCTAGCACCAATGCCCTCCCCCTCTTCATACAGAGCATTTATTTATAGATACACTGGTGACTCATTTTTCTGCAATTACACCTACCCATTTTCTTCCCTTATTCCTCCTCCTTCAGCTTGATTTATGGCAGTTCCTCCTCCACCTTCAACCTCATTGATATGCCAAGATAAGGCAGCTGCTAGATGCACTACACTAGCTAGGTGTTCATGTCACATCTTCCCCATTTCAATGCTTTCTAACCAGAAAGAACTTACCATTATAATTTCACCTACAGAACAATCTGGTTGCACTGTGCATACCATCTTACTTGTTCTGAGTAAGAACTTTCTAATCTAAATGACAGAATGTGAAACTCAAAGCAGAAAAGGTCCAGTTCAAAGGTAAAGCCAGCAAGTGTATTATAGGACATAAGGGGTCCAGTTAAGAGCTGCTATCCATCAGAGACCTACATGGTGATATAATTAGAGGTATAGCTGATTTCTTTATCTGCTGAAAGGCAGCTCATTGTTAGAGAGCTTTACTAGAACTCAGGAAATGTTTACAGTTTGAGCCAGCATTCCTTCTTTCTAAACCAGATTCACTCTCAAGCAAAGTGGTCAACATGCAAGTAGCAGAATAACAGAACCAGTGTTTTTAAGGTACACAATTGCACTGCTTGTATAGCAATTGCATGTTTTCCAGCTTAACTAGGCAAAATGGGTCACTGCTGTATCAGCTGGTGTCTGGAAAGGGATGAAGAGTAATTGGGAGCCAGAAAAAATGTTAATGTTGATGTCTGGAAACCTGCCATTTCAGTCTCCGGGTAAGGACTCTAATGTCTGCAATGAAAATAATGTAAAGAGGCAAATTTTTACCATCTGCCACTTTTCAGTAGGGGTAAAAATGTCCTAATTAACAGGAAATGTCTGTTGTACTGTGAATAAAAGCAAGCTTGTAGTTGGATTTACAGGGAAAGAAGAGTCTTGTTTAAAGTAAGAAAACAAAGATGAGCAACAGTAAGATACAGCTCCTTTCCCCCAGAACCCTGAAAGCTTTAAAGCTCATTTCCGTTTTCTTAACCAGGTTTTTGTCTTTCTCCCCACCTCCCCCTACTGTTTATTGGCATGCTGTTAATTGAAGGATAGTCATGAAAACCAGAGTTACAGCATTTGTTTGTGTGCCTTAAACAGATCCTGTCTGTGGCATAATATTTATAGCCTGTAACTGTCAAAAGGAAGAAAGCAAGACCTCCAGGCTTCCTATCAGAAGAGCAATGTAGGACTAAATTACCGCAGCATCTGTTGATCCCAGACAAAAAGCTTGGACAGATACACATTTATGTTTAATTTCTTTGAATATTCTTTTCTTCCACAGTTTTCTGATTGTTGTCTAGTCTCTGCAGATGATCATAAAGCAACCACCTTAAGTTTGTTGCTAATCTCACTATTATTACCTTACTACCCTGTGGTACTAAATAAAACAAATTCTGTACAATATCAGCTGCAACATCAGTAACTTGTAAAAGCAATTCAGATATATGTATATGATATTAGAGAACAGAGTAACGTTGCTTGTCACGCACCTTCACTTCTCAAAAGAATCTGTTTGGAATTGGCTTTCAAGCTGCATAAGATTCCCAGGCCAGTAGTAATGTGATCATAAATGATGCGACCTTAGGAGTTCTAGGCTTTCCACAAGTGGTGGCAAACATCCTAGAGATCTTGCAGATAAAAGTTTATGTAAGTAAGTCCTTTTAGTATGACAGCATGGTGGGAGGGAGCAGGAGGAATAGGTATAACATAAGTGAGCTCAGTGCCATCATTTACTTCACATAGTTTAAAATGAAAAAAAGACAGACTTGCAAATGTGTCTAAATTGAAGTGAGTAAAGTAATTGTTAATGTCTTCCCCAGGCTATAAATAAGATGTCACCTACATCCTTAAAGCTGACTCTCAGACAGCTCAGAGAAGGCGCTTCCATGAGCTTACAAGATGTACTCACAATGGAATACAGGCTGAGCCAAGCATGCATGGTAAGCAAGCAGCTGAGCCCTTTGTCTTTCCAGCAGTGGAGAGGTACACATTTATCAGAGACCAGCTTATATACAGATTACATCAAGGACTCACAATGTATAGGTTTTAATTCTCAATATCTTTTGCGTGTTTGTTAGGCTGTCGCTTTTTTCCAGTTACATCTCTTTATATGCAGCTTGAAGGAGACTACATTAATGGAAATGGTAGAGGGCTTTTGTTAAGAAAACTATGATAATGCTGTAATAGAGAAAGTTTTGCATTTGGACTGTAATTTTAAACCCCTGGTGTTCTTGAAGAGATTTCTTATTTAAATTGCTTAGTCCTCAGTTCCCATCAGCAGGATGGGAATAGTTGTGTATCACTGCCTTTCAGGAGTGCTGTGATAAATTTATTAAAAAAGACCAAGAGATTTTAGTAGTATTTATACTAAATAGTATTTAATACTTGTGTAACATTTAAGGAAATGATACTTCCAGTAGAACAGAGTTGCTAACCGAATTATCTGAACAAGTTCCTCATAAAGCTTCCCCATGGCATCCTTATTATAGTTTTGTGACATTTTAAAATAAGATTTTTATGTCTTTGATTGTTTGGGATAGTTAAAGTAAATACTTGAAAAAAAAAAAAAAGGGAAAATATATCCAATTCTGATATGGTGTAGTGTCTGCCAGTATCCTTGGCATAGCTTTCGTTAACTAGTATTGTTGCTCCATTGCTAGCAAAGCATCCTTACAGATTTAAATGTTACATTTACCTATATTAAAAAACCCTGGATGTGTCCAGGATTCTATTTAACTGCAAAGTGTTCCAAGTACGCAGAATGCATCACAACCCCTGTAGACTGTCCTCTCTGATGAATTTCTGATCCTACATGCCTCAGTCCCCATCAAGCAGAACTCTTTAGAAAAATCTGACATGCAACAGAGAGAGAGCTGCATTGCATAGAAGTTGAGTGATAACCAAAGTTCTACAGACTGATTTTAAGAGTTGTGGCTGCATTTAAGCAAGAGGTCATAGAGCTCTAATAAGTAAGGAGCAAGTAGGATGATACAAGACCAGTACAAGTGAGATTTAACCGAATCTTGAGAACTTGCGTTTCAAGCAGAAGTGGGATAGGTAAAGATGTGCTAAATAGAATCTGTCATGTTACAGCTTTCTTTAATTCCTTTAATCTTTCAGAGAGGCCCGGACTTCTACGAAGGGGTTCGAGCAGGTAAGCATGCACACCAGAAACATTTCTCAATAATATGCAAACTCACTGTTGCATTGCTTCTGTGGAGGTTAAGAAAAGTGTATCCAGCAACAGCCCAGAGAAAGCTTCCCAACTTCCTCCAGTTTTTGCTTATTGGACTCCTGTATGGCCAAAAATTCATTATTTTTTCCTAAGTGTGACAGCCAGGTTTCCTGTGTGTAATCTCAGTTTCCTAATGTTATTTATCCACCTGGTAACGCAGCACCATGAAAAGGTTTCACCAATTCATTGGGAAACTTCACATATATTTAATGCTAGCAGTAGGGAGTAGCTAAGGGTATCGTTTGTGTGTCCAGATTTAGCATTGCCACACTGTAAGATGGTGCGAGAGTTGAAGTTAAGAACAACTTCACATGGCAATTTGTTAGAACAGAGGCTACTCCCACATCCAAAGTGTGTCTATATAGAGGTGTCTTACTATCAAAATATATATGTAAACATAAATATTTCAGTATTTTAAAGCACTGGTCAAGGTAGGTTAGGGTACAAGTAGAGCAGTGGCTCAGGAAGTTCACCTAGGGGACAGACTTAGATTCTGTCCTTGATTCTACTGCTGATTCACTATGCAGTTTGTCAAACCCAATGTCACATCTGTTAGAAACTATAGAAATTATTTATGTCCTGTACAGCAGGAGGTGAAACAAAACACAAATATTTCCTTTTCCTCGGAGCTTACAGTACAAGACATTTGGATGAGTAACACTTTGGGGTTGAGGGAGTCTGACTTTGAATTCAAACTCAAGTATATATTATCACCTCCTCCTCATTTCTTAATATCTGTCTTCATAAAGTAGTGTAAACTCCGCTTGAGTAATAGACATTAGTTTGAGTGTTCACTATTAGTAATAACTGTATTAAAGCCTATGGTGAGAGATGCAAAGATGGCTTGTACATCATGGAAAAAGTTTATGATTTTAATCTTTAGTTCTTACTGGCAGAGAATCCTTTGAAGAATTTACCCCATTGTGTGGTAAATTCTGGTGAGTTCTGTTCTTCTCAAATACTGTTGAGAAGTACATTGTTTTCATTGTGTTGGTAATGGGGGCAAGGATATTTTACAAAGATTATTCCTAGGATATATTCTAAATCACCATATGAGCTTATGAAGTGACAAACTCAAAGTTTGAGAGTCAGATGGACACCAAGCCAAATTCTCACTTGTAATGCCTAAGGTCATTAAACCATCTGGTGATGTTGTAGAGGACAAAAGCAAATTGCTTGTCAGTATGTCCAGTAAATTACACAAAGTGCTTATAAAGAAAGAATCCGCAAGAACAGCAGTTGGGAAGGATTCTTTTTTGCACAGGATGATGTAGCAAAGGCTCAACTATATCAGGAAGAAAAAAAAAAAAACCCACCAGAGACCCAGCTGCACTGAGGGGATTGCTAATAATAATAATAACTTGTTCTTGAAGTACTTCTGCTTACTGCATGTATCTTATTCTCAGATTTGGCATCTTAAAATAGCTTGTCTTGTTTAAGAATAGTGCAGAATCTGACTATTTTTGCAGTTGGGTCTAATCTCATAAAAATCATTTTCCAACAACATACTGAATATAATTTTTATTAGGAAGTAAGATTATTAAGAGTTTACTGGATCAACCAGTGAATAAAAGTGAAAATAATAAATAAAATATTAGCTTTTAATTTATTAAAACATTACATTCCAAGCATTTAAGAGCCAGCTGTTGACCCTGTCTACAAAGTAAAGTTAAGATATAATAATCAGGTTTTATTTTTTGAAGGTTGTTTTTCAGCAGGTCAGGTTCTAATAACAGCTTTTATCTGCTTCAGACTGCAATTATAATGGGCATGCTAGGGAAGCAGTTTGTTGAGAAGCTTTTTAAACCTGTTTTGACCTGAGGTCAGAATTTCATTGTTCTTTTAGCCAGTTTTCTTTCAACCAGACTGCAAATATGCTGGCAAGCAGTATTCCGCTCCAATTCTTGTGATTTGGGCTACTAAAGAAAAGCCAAATCCTTCAAAGCAGAAACTATACAGATCATATTTCAGCAATATTTTCCCATATAATGGAAGTGTGGTCTTTGAACACTATAGGTATCAGTTTTTCACCTTGATTTATAGGATAATACATAAATTAAGAAATGCATAGCCCTGCATAATTTCCAAGAACTTTGATTTTCTATTCTTACTGCATAAGCAAAGCAGTCTTTTTTAGTGTCAGTGCTCAAACACATCCAGGTGGACTACAGTCTCAGCAGCCTGAGGGAACAAAAATCTGCTAAATTAGCCTAACTATTTGTGCAGGAATGTACAGTTCAAATGGAATTGTAAAGGCCTTCTATGTATTGCTGATCCTGCAAAGATGTTATTTCTGTATGGCTTCTGCCCTCTCTCCTGCAGTGCTAGCAGCTGGCAGATGTGAGCCTAACCCTGGGCACAAAAACCCCCTGCAGTCAGTGAGTAGGTAGGTAGATAGATTACATTGCAACTAGCAGAAATTCAGGTGCTTAGAAATACCAGTGTTGTGACTGTGCTGAATGAAGCTAAAATAGAACACTTACTGAAGCCTGGTAAAAAGGTAAACTACAAGAACAAACCCTTAACAGAATGCTCATTTTCAATTAGCTTTATCTTAATGAAAATCCCTTAGACTACCTTAGAAGTCTTCAGAACTTCGGTTCTGTTCTTGTAGTGACCAATCTTTCAAGCTGGAGAAAAACAGAATATACAGAAGTTAATATAGAAAGGAAATATTTTCAAGATACTATTAGAAAACAATTTTAACTCTCATAATATTAAGGACTTCATTAGAGAGACCATAATAAGCATTCATTTATCCACCAGAGTAAAACTGGCCACAAATCCGAACAGAAAGATTGACTGGATTACACAGTAGTGCTATAGAGTGAAGAATTACCAGCCATTTCTACTGTATTTCAGAGTTGAAGCTGTAGCAGTATACACATGGACTTTTTTTTTTTCCTTCTAAAGCACCTCTAGTCAGTATTGGCTTTTGTGGATAACCGTTAGGATTTTGGCCAGATTGTAAACTTCATTGGAGTTGAATAAAATCATCAGATATGTCATACTGTGATGGAATAAATATACTTGATTCAAGACAATTATGTATTTTGACCCAAACCAATCAGTGGCTTTACATCACAGTTTAAAATTGACTTGTAGGGTCATAACTTTACACCAGGTTATCCAGGTGAATGACCCAGTAAAATCGTTCTTTTACAGCACATTTCTATTGAAGAATTGCCCACATGGATTCTACTCTCTGTAGAAGCACAGCTTTGGTCTGTACAGGGGATTTCTTTTAAAAATCAGTGTTTATTTGTATCCAGGCAGTCCTTAGTGCTCTCTTTGTAGTTAAATGGGATGCAGGGCTCTGATTCTCCTTTCACTTTGGAGGTGCACACTAAAGAGTTGCGATGCCTGTTTGTCTTCAGCTATGTTAATTAATGTAGCTATTATTTGAACAGTATTTATTTTCTAGGCTCTTTCCAAGTGTTGGTTATAGAGGGAGAAGTTAAAAAGAAATTTTGAAGTCCCTTTTGTTTTTTACCACAAACTACCATAATGCCTGTCTTCCAATACAACCCAATCTTTTGGTAGGCATTCCTTCCACTGAACTTGAAATCCAACTCCTTTGTATATTTCACATCCTAGATGGTTCTAGTTTAGTCACCAAGCACAAAATCTGCTTAGAAAGACATGACAACTTACCAGAACACCAGCTGTTAGTCTTCAGAATATGTAGTTTCTGTATCTTCTGTGCACGTACCTTTAGAGCCATCCTACTCTGGACTCCATCAGAAAAACCAACCAGGCAGGCAAACCTCCCTCTTCTCAGCACACTGAGTATTGCCCATCCTCCTTTATATGCTGTGGGTGGTGTTGGTCAGGAGGTCTCCCAGGACACACACAGCTGCATCTCCAAATCAGTTGCTGATACCACACATGGGTGTGGTTGAGGAGGGATGTGTGTTGAGGAGGGATGTTGGGTAGTCAGTGCATCCTAGAAAGCCATAGTTACTATAGCTGTTCTTTTTGCTTTTGAATAGCACCTTTATGGGTTTTCCTGAAGCCAGAAAGGTGCTTGGAAGTATGCTCTGGAATTTCATTCATACTGACAGTTTTTATACACAGATAAATTCTCTCTCGCCTTACCATTGTTTGCTAGTGCAGCTGTTCTTGCTGACATGCCTTCAACATTGCTGCAGTACAAGGAATGCTTTTTGAGAATTGGTATTTTATTGCTGTAAGTGAAATTCATTCACTGATGATTTTATCTTCAGTAATGTACTAGTACACATGTAAAGTACACAGCTTGTACAGATCTTCATAGTTAAATTTACGTAGGTCTGTAGTATCTGTCAGTATTTACAAATAAATATTCTTGGATTTGCCCACAAAGATACTCTGCTTTACTCTTTCCTCATTAGCTATTTCATTATTAGTTTATGTGATGTGTTTAAATTAGCTTTAGGCATTAAACACCTCCTTTGAGTCATCTCCTATATTCTAAAGTCAGATTTTGCAGAGATGTGAAAGCTCTTATCCAAAAGGAGAATCATGCATACTGTTGCCAGTTTCACATGAAAAAGTATAAGTTGGGCAAGAGTAGTAGGTCTAACAGAAAGCACTAATTTGAGGTCTATTCTTTCAGAGCTTGGGCTACTTCTGAAGTTACCCACTGTTCCTTGTATCATCAGGCAACCCCCAGATACATCTCCAGACAGATCACAACTCAAGACTTTTTATTAAGTAGAAATATGTATGTTACAAAAAATCTGTCTTCTTGAGAACATACTCATTTTTCTTCCCTATGTATTCACTGTAGTTGTCTGTCTGGAAGCAATCTAAAGTCATCTTAATTAGAGAAAGCTTACAAGTAACTTTTGTGTTTGTATACTCCACCTGACAGTGCTGATTGACAGAGACCAATCCCCCAGATGGAAGCCAGCTGCTCTCGAAGAAGTCAGTGATGAGTTTGTGGATGATTGTTTTAAGCCACTGGGAAGCAATGATCTCAAGCTATAAAGATCAAGCCTATTGACTTACATGTGCTTAAATCTACGACATAAAAATTAATACTAGTGTGATAAAGTTTGGTAAGACTCTGAGATTCGTAAGTAATTTTTTGCATTCAGGAACATTCTCTTTTGTTATGCTGCCATAATGGCAAATAATCATATCTCTGGTTAACAAGGGGAAAAGGCAAATCGTTATCTTTACTGCTTTACACAATGATTAACATTTAATTTTTTGCATCAACTCTTAGTTTAGGAACCTTTGGGGGAGAGAGCAGACTTAAGGGATGATCCTAATAAGCAAGAGGTTAGGAGACCTTTGTGTTCTTGGCTCAGTCACTGATCTAAGTTTGTGCCCCAGATTATTCTTTATACAATGAAAATTAAAAATACTTAAAGCTTTTAAACAGTCAGAGCTACAAAGGAAAATGCAAGACATGATAAATCCATGGTATTAAGTAGCCTTTTAAATAAAGGGTCAGACTGACATATAAGTAGTCTGAGAGAAATTGTTCTATTGATTTAACATTTGGTCAGTATTCAGGTTTGCTATGTGATGTAGACATTTTTTCAAATGTCATAATATTGTCAGAGCCTTGAGCACTTCCATTTGTTGTAAGACCATTAAAAAAAAAAAAAAGCCATTAAGTTGAATGGCACAATTAGTTTTTCATGGTTTAAAAAATAGGTAGTTTTTCCTGGTCTTACAGGGGTGAAGAAATAACTGTCTCAGACCTTCCTCTGAACACTAAGCAGCACATCTCCTGTTGATGTTTGTGATTGTCAAGTGATTTTAGTGGTAGAGGTCAGCCCAGCCCTAATACTGCAAGTGCCTGGAGTTTATACCACTACTCTGGGTTCCCATTTGCTTGTGCCCATGAACATCATGTCTGATGGGTGGAAAATCTGTGAAAAGTAAGGGGAATGCAGCAATATGTACTGAAGATCATGAATAGGGGAAGACATGAAATACCTGCTGTACATGGATTGTATAGGTTTTTTAAGACAACATCCTAATGAATGTATTTATTGGGATCAAAATCTAAATATACATCAAAAAACCTTTGTTGTGTGTGCATTAAAGGTTGCTTGGTTCTGATACTAATAATCCTTGGTTATATGACATAATCAGAGCTCCTTGATAAAAGTATAATCTTTTGGGGGGTTAATATTAATTTTTCCATAGTGTATACAACACAACTGTTAATCTTTCTTCAACTTTAAGATTGCATGGTTAATGAAATCGTGTATCAGTATGGTTTCCTACTTGTTTCCACAGTTATAGGCAGGTCATATAAACAAATTTTGGCTTCTATGAAGATGAACCACTGAGCTTAAAGGAAGAAAACTTTTGTTCCAGTAACATAGTCAGTAATCAGCACTGGAGAATCAAAAAGTCAGAGCTCCAGCAATACCATTACAGAGTTTTCAATAATCGGGCAGATTTTATTATTGACAGTATTGCTCTACAATGGCTTAAGGGTCCTTCTTTCCTAGAATCTATTGCTTGGAAACAAAGTGCAGGAAATTCAGGCATCAGGGTGAACTACTAGAGTGACTTGCAAAGAGTGGTGAGCAAAATGGAGAGCAAAATCAAGAAAAAATGGCACCTTGATTTGTCACTAGAATATCACTGTCCAAATTTCAGCTGCAAGTTAAATCTTACTATGTACGTATTGGTTATGAGACAGTCCTTGAGCTTAGTTTGAAAAGTAGTTAAGAGATTTCATTACTACTTTTGGGATAATTCTGAAAATGACTTGAATTTCTACCTCATTCTGGTCTGTAAGAAATGTAAATCTTCCCCCCTTAGTTTTTGAAATTTTTGGATGCTTCAGATTCTTAAACAATGGTTATTTTTATTTTAAATTGGTTCATTCCATTATTTTTGTACAAAAGGAGCAATCTTCAGCATCTGTTTAATGAAAAACACGGTAATCCCCAAGGAGCAGGGATCGTGCCTTCTCTGACTGAAAAGGACTTAAGGTGCTTTAGCAAGAGTACTTCTGAATTGATAAACTTTGACTTGCATGTTCAGTTGCTTCCAAAATTTATGTGAACAGAAATTATCCCAAACTCATGGTACCAAGATCCTGTCCAATCTGAGCATTTCTATAAAATAAGTCATACAAACAGATGGTAAATTCAGTTTTATTTGGTCCACAAGAAAATATTTTCCACAAAAAATACTGTAAAAATATATTGTACTGTGTTTTATTCAGGACTACTGATGTGTCTTACTCCAGAAATGTCAATTTTATGAAGTTGTGCTGTAGTTACTATGTTCTGAACTATTATTAGAATATCAAGTCAGTCACATTGTATCCACTCAGATTACGCTTATGTTTCCTGGAGAAAATATAAAGCAAGTGTATTTTTAACTCCTAAATAGAAGTAAATGGTTTTGTGGAGTATGCCAGTCCCATACTGGAATGCCTTCATTACATAAAATCAAGTCAAAGAATCAGTGGCAACTTAGCTGGAAAGCCACTACAAGTAGCACAGTTTAGAGTAATCTAATAAGAGATGTAATTTTATTTAGGTAAAGCCATCTTAATTTTTATTACACATTAGTATTGTGCCTATTACAGAAATACAGCATAACTCTGGGAAGAAATCTCCTTCGATTTCTCACCAGATTGTACTATTGAACAGATTTCATTTATTTTTTTATCTTATTAAGGGTAAGTGCATTATTTATTAAGGACAGTGTCTTGTACAAGGGACTATTTTCCTGGTGAGATGCTGTCTCCCTCTTGTTTGTAAGCTTGTTTGCCTTCCATTTGCTGCATGCTTTCCCTGAAGTTCCAGTGTCCTAGAAAGCATTATAAAGCAGCTGGAATTGCACTTCAGGCCATATTGAAGCTGCTGTAATCTTCCAGCATTAATGAGGGAAGACAAGCTTTGTGGTTGCAGGTAGGTTGGACATAACAAGCAGTTGGGTGATCCAGTTACTGTCACGTTATGATGGCTTTCTGAGGAAGCAGTGCAGGTGTCCCACACAGCAAGTACTCCAAATGGAATCACGCTGTGATGCACGTTTAATTATATCTAGGTGACTTTCTCCTTTGGGGAAATTTTGAGTATTTATCCATATGGATGCTATGATGTAAATTCAGACTGTTATATCTTGTTTTATAATTCTGCCTGCTGTTGGACCATGCAGTGCTAGCCTGCCAATGGAGAAGCTGCTCTGACTCCCAGCAGTGTCAGATGCTAAGGCTACATTCAAAGGCAGGATTTGAGAAATTGCAACACCTAAAACCCCTTGACAGCCAACAAGGTATTTGTACAAGGGTCAAGACAGATCTACCTAAATGCACTCTTAAAGTGAGTGCAGTTTTCTATCTGCTAGTCACCTATCTGGCAAATAATGTCTATGGAACTTTTGGGGGGGTTCTTTTTCCCCCCCCCTTGTTTTTGTAGGGTTTTTTGGGGGGAGATGTTTGTCTTTTGTTTGATTTAAGGTTTCTTTACTTCTTTGCTTTAATTACTCTCTTTGGCAGTGTTGATCTCTTTGAGTCAAGACTAATGTTACAGAAGGGTTCACCTTTTTTGTAATACAACTTCATTTTAGCTATAAGAAGAATAGGAATCTTTTTTAATACTGTGGTTAAGCAATATCAAAGTATTGGATGTGCTGATCTGATCAATGTTTTAGTTCTGTTTTTTAAATCATCCTAGTATATTAGAATGTATATTGGCATGGAGGTTTCTTTAGACTGAGCTAATGTAGGGTATGGTCTTATGTTTTACATGCTTTAGAGCATCAAGGTACATCACTGTTAGCAATAGAATTTAAGTGGGCCTTGGTCCCACTTTACATATGGCTTCAAAGATTCATTACTTAAAGAAGAAAACAATGCAACATAAGCAGATTTTGTTCCCCTTTTCAGCAAAAGCCTGAGAAGTGTCTTAATAGCAGAGTCTAGTCTGGTCACTGAATTAATGGCAGTCTTGTGCTGTGTTACAAAGAACCATTTTTCACCCTTTGCTCTTGATAAAAGCACTTCCCCATACAGGTAGATTTAAAGTAACTAAGTTTGTGTTGCAGAGTTTTCAAAACAGCTCAATTCATAGCTTATTCTCAGACTTAAGGCAGCCTAAAAATAACAACTTACATGGTCCTCTTTCTGCTTGCTTCCCACTGCTTGAGAAATGATGCTTTATATAATTTACTAGAACTATGTGTATGTTTTAAAAATAGTAACAGTTTTTGCCAGTATGGAAAGCATTTTTCTATAAAACAAAAACATAAAATGGAAAACAGTTTGATCTAGGAACCAAAACAAACCTGTCTTTTAAACTGGCCGTAACAGAAAAAGGAACAAACTGGTGCTAAAACCCCAAGCTTTTACAAGGCATTCACTTTGTATAAAATGTCAGCAAAACCACAGCTTTAAGATGACTGTGATTAATGCCTCCCTTTCTTCCTAGCTTGAATGCTAGTTACGAGTAGTGTAAGTCAGGCTGCAAGTCCTGGAGAAGCAGGGTGCGGTGTGTGGAGGCAGGCTACATGAAATTGGTAAATAATTGAGCCCCTTAAGCTTTGGGCCTAAGGCTTATTTACTAATTCAGTGCACTGCTCAGGCTTTGGGTTTCTGTAGCTCAAATCTGCATCACCATATGCAGTTTTACCAGTGGGTAAGGATGAGCCTACAGAAGCTGAAGGAAGGTACTGTCCCAAGGTCGTTACCTTCCTGTGAAATTCCAGTGTAATGCAGCCATAGTTCCCATGAAACAAACAGTCCCAAAACACTGTCACGCTGTTGAAGGTTTGTTTCACTAATTTGTGTCAGTAGCTTTTGCACACCCATCTGGGTTACAGTAAAAAACCAAACCCAGTCCCCCTAAAAACCAGCACCCTAACATAAAAACAAAACAAAATAAACCCCAAACCAACAATCCAAGCAGCTTTGGTCTGAACACAGTGATCAGATGTCAGTAAACTACCTTACTGCAGGATTTTAGAGAATAGTCTTCATGCATTTATGGAAGCCAGAAAATCTG